TGTTTAAGAATCCAGAGGGCTTATAGTGACTCCAACTATTGTTTTGGGATTTAGAAAAACTAGACTGTAGAGCTCCATGTGACTGTATACAAACAAAACAGATTTAGGTTCCTCTGATCATGAGATTGAATCTGGTAATGTCAATAGGTATCAGGATGAACAGGAATGTTAAGGTTTGGACTCTTCTCCACTTTCTCCCTACTGTCAAAAGGAGCAAATGCACTTTAATGGGAACTCTGTTTACAGCAATTATTTAAATTCTACCAGAGTACGCATTAGCATTTTAAAAAGCATCTGTGTGACGAAGTGACTGATAAAGCATTTTAGAAAAATGTTTTTAAAGTGTTCTCCTTTGCTTTATCTGTAATAGACTACAATTAATAGCAACAGAAAATTGCTTTAAAAAGGAATTATCAATTGGGATGAAATGTAGATCATAAGAGAGCAGCATGAAAGACTGGAATAAATGACAGACAGGAGAGAAGACAGTAATTTCTCATTATTTTTGACTTAACCAAAGCACAAGAATCTCAAAGTATTTGTTATCACCATTGAACATCCATGTGACGCAAAGGCATAGCAGCCCACAATTTTCCAGAGAAATCTTCAATAAATGAGAGCATTAATGGTCTGTGAATATTGCAAAGGTTATCTCTAGAGGCAGGAATAGATTTTTAAGGACTTAATTTCCATGCCTTTATTTTTAAAAAAGTATTGCACTTATTGCTCTGTGGTGCAACGAGTTAATACAAGAAGGGATATAACACTTTGGCTTACTGGGAGCCATGCTAGCATTTTAGAGGGCAATAGCCAAAAGTGTGGTTCAGACCCTGGAACCTTCCCTACAGTAGAAAGTTTTACCAGCAAAGCCATCCATGCATCAGAAGGATCAAATCTGAATGGTTGTCAACCTTCTCTTGATGGAGAAAGCTGACTTCCTTCTTCAAGTATTACCAGCCACAGAAGTGGCTCTCCACAGCCATGCAAAGACATCTGTGACAGTGAGAAACAACATGCCTGCCCTGTAGCTCTGATTACTTGCAACATGTGACGCCCCATCCTGAGAAAGAGTGCTGATTAAAGGCTTCCTCCTTTTTAAAATCCTTGGTGTCTTATGGCCTGAACAATCTTTTAAATAACTGTGTGGCGGTCAAGTGACTACTGCCTCTAGTTCTGGGAATATCACGTGGAAAAGGTCTAACCGACCCGAGGAGTTTGCACAAACTGCAAACTTCAGCTGAGAGCTAATAAAGAGGAAGCAGATTGTGATAAGAAAACATGAGAAATTGCCCCAAGTGAAACCCAAGGCTGGCAGAGAAGAAACCTCCAGCATGAATATCACACTGCTCCTGAGCTCACCTGCTGATGACTCATCTTTCTGCTCAAGGAATACTGTCAACCTTAGGACTCACAGGAACAGTGAAAGGGTGAGCATAATGCCATAGAAAAGGGGTAGAAAGTGGAAAGGCTCTGCATAACAATTCTAGCTGTAATGTTAGTGAGGCTTTTATATTAAATAGAAATTTAGTTAGTTAGTTAATAACCTAGTATTAACTCGATAATTTGGACTATCAGACCATTAAAACATTAAGTGGACAAACAATAAATTCTTGACCCCATTTATATACTGCATTCCTTTTTTGCACATTACAAGATTTGGAGTGTAGCAGCATGCCAAACTGCCTCAGGATAACAGGGTGTGCCTTCTGACATGGGAAGACCATGGAAAACACAGAGCACAGGAAGGAAAAGGAAACAAGCCACACCACATCTACAGAAAAATCAACAGCATAAGTTCAGCGCTGTCCTGAGACTTGGATCTACTCTCTTAATGCCATAATGCACTAGAAACTAGTACTGTTCTACAGATAAAGTGTCTCGCAAAATATGATGCAAACAAATCCAGAACTGAGGTAGAAACAGAGGGGCCTGAGTGACAGGAAGGAACCTCTTCAAAACACAGCTGGGCTATCAGAGCCCTTCAGCCCCTAAAGAAAAGGGCTCTGCACGAGTATTATTTTACAGGACTGTTTACTTTACCAATTTACACAGAATTTACTTTGTTTGCTTTTGCCATAGTCTTCATCACATTGCTTCTCCCTCTCTGCCTGTGAAAATTTGGTGGCCAGCCACACACGGAAGCAAAGGGATTTTTGCATGAAACTAGCGACTTCATGTTAAGGATATAAACCAGTTATATTGTGCAACAGAGGAAAATACAAAGCAATAAAAAACATCCTGAAGTACATAGTTTTACAGAAAATAAACTGCAATCAGATTTCACGCAGCTACAGAAGAACAAAATTACAGGTAGCTATTATTCTGGGCTTACAGTCTTAAGATGGTAGGAAGCCACATATTCTATATTTAGGAATTTATTTGGATGGGGTTACATCACTAACCTACAGAAGAGGTGACATCACAGTTATAGTGCAGACACCAGCAGATCTCAGCACACAGACAACTCTTTAGTCACCTACTACAAGGTCCCTGAATCTCTTCAGCAGGCAGCATTTAAGCTCTGCACAGATATCTGTAGGTAGAAATGCTTGCTTTCCCCCTTGTGCTATCAGACCTCCTCGCAAAACTCAACAAAAACTTGAGATCATTGCAGAGAAAAGTCCAGCCACAGAAGAGACATTTACAAACCTGCTCAGGCATTCCATTTTCTCAGCCGTTTTGGCACCTCAAAAATGAATGTACGCTGAAAGATTGTGACAGCCTACAAGAAATTTAGGAGGTTGCACAACACCATCCTGAAACCGTGCTGTTAACCTGTCATAAACTCCGGTGGCTGTGAGCCCGTCCGCACCATTATACGGCCCAAGGTGAGAAAAATAAGACACTGTAATATCTTTCTTTAGCTGTCTACTAACTCTCATCTGAAAAATACCTAATAATGGCTCTCTGTTTAAGACTGACATATATTACTGAATTTTCATGTGCAGGCATAAGGTTGCTGAACAGCTTCAAGGAAAAAGGAAACTTGGAAAAAAAAAAAACCCACTTGTATTGCCAACTATGCAAATATTACAAAGCCTTCTCTAGTTATTATTATCAGCAAGTCAAGCCCAATAAGACAAAAACGTGCATAACCAGCAGGAGGTACCTATTCCATAAGGTAAAATTCAGAGATAAGCAATAAGCACGACATAGGACTAGCACCTGTGTCCCATCTCTCACCTATTCTTGCACTTAGCAGAACCCATTCCAACATACTCCATTACTTTATGAAGACTGTTTCACATATGTAATCCTCTACAACAGGTTATGCTTCGTTATTCTGCAGTCCCATATGACAAGAGTCTCCACCAAACCTCTTAAAAACAACTAATAGGGATTTGGAGCTTCTCATTCTGTCAGTAAAAAAACATCACACATGACATATCTGTGGGCCCTCTCCAGAAAGTAACGGGAGACCTGGTTACCCAGGATATGGAGAAGGCTGAGGTACTCAATGAATTTTGCCTCAGTCTTCACTGGCAAGAGCTCCAGCCACATTGCCCAAGTCACAGAAGGCAAAGATATGGAGCTGTTGCAGTGGGTCCAGAGGGGATGATCCAAGGGCTGGAGCACCTTTCCTATGAAGACAGGCTGAGAGAGTTAAGATTGTTCAGCGTGGAGAAGAGAAGGCTCCGGGGTGATCTTATTGCAGCCTTCCAGTACCTAAAGGGGGCCTACAGGAAAGCTGGAGAGGGACTTTTTCCAAGGGCGTGTAGTGATAGGACAAGGGGCAATGGATTTAAACTGAAAGAGGAGAGATATTGATTAGATATAGGGAAGAAATTTTTTACAATGAGGGTGGTGAAATGCTGGAACAGGTTGTCCAGAAGAGTTGTGGATGCCCCATCCCTGGAAGTGTTCAAGGCCAGGTTGGATAAGGCTTTAAGCAACTTGATCTAGTGGAAGGTGTCCCTGCCCATGGCAGGGGGGTTAGAACTAGATGATCTTTAAGGTCTCTTCCAACCCAAACCATTCTATGATTCTACAACTTTAACATTTGGCCTAGCCACGGTTAGGGATACTCATTACATTTGAGGAGCAAGGAAAGGGGAGAGTGGAATACAGAGATTCTGAACTTGGTAGTTTTGGGGATAAGATAACCCTTGTTACCACAAATCTCTGAAAGGCATGATGTAGTCCTTGTATATCCTTGTAGCACTATTGTATACCATAAACACTTTTCCACAAGGTAGCACAACAGCTAGCTATGCTCACGATGCAAGGATACCATGCATCTTTTGACCTGGAAAGGCATCCAAGTGTGAAGAAACACTACCAAATGGCAGATGGATACTGGCAAAATTCTTGCTAATAAAGCTGCATAGCATTGGCATAGCACACATTTCAATTTGAAATTACAATAATGAAGCCACATCACTCTGCTGGTATTCTGAATCACCTTCCACCCTTGTCTTCAGTTCTACCTGCTCACTCTCACATGGATGTAGTCACTGATTGATCATAGAAAACCATGAAGGACTAGACACAATCTCCTTGAAATACCAAAATACTATCAAGTCAAAATAAATAATTTTTAAAACCCACAACCCTATTATAGATTTGGTATAATTCATTCCTGTAACTCCATTTTTCTTACTTAAAGAATAATCATTTTCTATCATAACCAAAATTGTGCCAAGAGGCTCAGAAAGTTCTTCATATGCTACCTTTGTGACACCCTTTTCACTCCTTGGCAAGCTCCACAGCTGTTTCTGCATTGTTCCTCTGGAAGTTCTTACCAGACATTTTGGGTTAACACCACAATAGGATGTCCCTCTACGAGTTATTTTGACATCAAAAGTTATGAGGTACATACAAATGCATATAGTTAGTAAGACTATTCATGCAACATGCACAAAGACAAGATTACCAACCAAACTCACATAATTTCCCACTCATTTGAGCTGCACAGCTATAAACAAATCTTTGAATTTACTGTTTATCAGACAAGAAAGCATTTCTCATCTGGAACCTCTCATCTAAATCAGAATACTCACCCTGCTGCAACTGCAGGAGGGATGACCAGTATGAGTTTAAGTTGTGCTTCATGCAGAGCTTCAGAAAGATGAACGAGCAAGTGAATCAGCTCCCTGAAATACAAACGTATTGTTAGAGGGAAAGGCAGTCAAACCGGTGCTCTATATTGGCAAGAGCAAGTTAAAAAGTAACAGCAGAAATAATTGAAAAAATGCAGTGGGCAAGAGAACCAAACACAGTTTGTCGTGAATGACCACAGCAGAAAAAAAAATTAGGAAGACTCATCAGAGGTTTACCCTCTTCCAGGACTAAGAACACTGAACTGCTGGAGACAATTTTAGTTTTATTGGAACTGGTGACCACCTTGGGGCTAAAACATTTCCTAGTTTTATTTTAATCTAACTATGCATTGTTAGCATGTAAAACCAGAATATCTTATGAGAGCAGATCACCGCTTGAGGTCATATTCAGTAAAAAGAATTAAACCAACAGAAGAACCAAACACTGTTCTGAAACAAGCAGTTGTTGAATAGATACAAGTTGCCACTGTATTATGACACAAGGTCTGAGAATTTGTAAGGATGCTCTCACAGCAAGACATGCAATCTTCAAGGGGTATTTCTCAGGCCTGTATTTAGAAACGTTTCTGCTGCTGTTTTTTTCTGTATAAATAATCCTTTTGTTTCTCAACACATTACTGTATAGCTACAAAATAGATGTTTGACAATGCCATATCTGGAAGTATCACCTTACATATGCACCATTTAAAGACTTTCACAAAAGATGATTTTCATGTCCACATTCTAAACATTTCAATATGAAAATAAACTCCAAAATTCTCATGTAAATTGTTTTTAGTCTTCCTGATTTGAAGGGTGATGTTAATAGAAAATCCTTCAGAGGCAGACTGTAGAAACAAAAAGGTTTAATGGATTCCTCTCAAGATAACAATAGCCAATATTACCTTCAGTTTGCACTATAAATACGGCCCTTCTGTGTGTCTTTGTTAAATAATTTGATTTTTCAGAATAAAGTCAACTTTCATATTTACCCACTGGCAAGGTGGGTCCGCAAAGGCAGACAGATGATATTAGAATGCTAGATCTGTTCAGAACTATGCTTAAACCTGAACTGAGTAGAAAGCAACTTCCCAACTCATTCCAGTACGCTAAAAGTGCTAAAGCAGGAAAGTCAGGACATACATAAGCAATCATCCAAGTTATTTGTTCCACTTAAACTGGATTAGACCTGAACTCAGGAACAATTTTTGGTACTGTCATGCCTTTCAAGGCAGGATCATCCTAGACGTATTCTTCTGAAATCATTGATCTTCCAATATAATTATCCATCATAGTAATGATGCTTGACCTGCACCATGTAGACACTATCCAAAGGTAAACACACGTTTTGATTTTGCCTGAATGGTTTGATGCCTGATGAAAACTTCCTAAGGACGCTACAAAAGTCATTACTCTCAAAATCCTACCAAACAAACAAAGCAAGTTTTATCATTTTCCCAATACCATCAGCATTTAGTGCTTACAATTTTAAAGTTGGCTGTGCTGAACAGCTCTTGACAATGAACTGTCACACCACCACCTATATTTCTCTTCCAGAGGGAGACATAAGATGACAGGATTCAGCTTTTGGTCTGCCTGCAGCATGTACTTTCTACCATTCTTGCTCTGGGAAAGTAAAAGTTTTCCCTCCCATTTCCTTATCATACGCATTCCACATTAAGAGTGTCACTATTCACATAAATCAATTATAGTGAAGAAGAATCCTTTTCCATAGGAACACATAAAAAATTACAACACTAAACCGGACAGATATTTATTGACTCCAACATACACATCATGGCTCCCACACGACCTAATCTTATAAAAAACTTTAATCAGTATTAAAACTAGCTAAGCCTTCTTTCCCACTGATTTGTGCCTCATGTCTAAGTGACCTTTTTAACTAATTACGCCCAAACTGCAGCATGAGTGCACCCTTTATTAGATGTCAGAGATGCTACGTATGAGACAAATTTGGCCAACCGATCGATTCCTCTGGCACTGAGATTATTCTACATTGTTCATAGGCAGGGATCTCTCTTCTCTGCCTGGCTGCCTTTGTTAGCTGTAGGAACTTTGAGATCTCTACACCATGCAAAACATTTGCCAACTTTAAATCTGATTATTTAGAAGGTAAGGGGATAGAAGGAGGGGCAGATTAGGACAAGAGAACCTAACATAGGTGCAGAGCAAGATAACGTCTTTCTCCTTTTTATCTAGAAACAAGGCTAACACCCTGCCTCCCACTTCACATGTCCACATATCTGCCTCAGCTCCTAAAATTTTGCTATGCAGATATCAATGCTTTGCAGCATAAGAAGAAAAGCAGTTGGGTTTATTTTGAATCAGATGCAGAACAAAAAAATTGAAGTGAATATTAAATTCAAAGTTTCCCTCTTCCTTGGCAATGTCAAGCACTGTTGGTTAGCCATCAGAGGTAAAAATGTATCCACAAAAGTGGTGACACTCCTAAAAAACAGTGACTGCACAAAAGCAGTCCTATTTTAGAACTAGAAAGGCATACAGAAACACAGCCTGCAACTGTAACTGAAGGACAGAGATTTGTGGCCTGATAAAGGGGCAGGAGTGCAGTCTGGATCACTGGTTTGTTTTGTAGCTAGCAGACAGGACTCTGACTGAAAGACTCCATCAAAACAGCCACTTCATCTTCTCCTGCCACCAAATCCAAGCAGTATAGCTCTGACCAAAAAATAATTAGCTTCAACTTGGAGAAAATCAGGAAGAAAAGGGGTAGCTGGACAACTGCAGATTCTTGCTCAAGAAACCCAGATTAACATCTGCTCGCTAACCTGTCAAGTCAGGTCTCTGCACCTTGAGAACTCTCTAGCAAATCACACAAGATTAACTCACTCTCACAAGAAGTGAGACTTAATTTAGGCTCACTTCCATTTGTCAGCCAAGACGGATTATGTAAATCAAATGTGCACTCTTCCCCTCTCCCCCTAACAGCAATAGCAGAAGCCTCATTTATTGTTTGCTATAAATTAAAACTTTACTGTGTCCCAACAGTGCTTTCCAGTGTTTAAACACAATATTCTCCCACATTACCACTACTCATTTTGAAAGAAAAGCTACTGACATTTTAAACACTATAATGAGGTGCATGAAAGTAGGAATAGAATCAGTCTTCCTGAAAAGGCTTCATTAAATATTTACCAGAGACTTCACCATTGTCAAATTTAACTTCAGAGAAGCTACTAAAACATTGGCAGCTTTAAGACTCTACCTTGAGCTAATTAAAGTCTACTTCATTCCTACTATTTCAGGTCTTCTATTATCCCTATCATTTGGTAGGTCGATTTTCCAAGTGTTCATCATTTCAAAGTATCTTGTCGCCTATAAAGTAGGCAGACCTCCAAATTTTCATCACCCAAAGTTTGAGGAACGCCTATTTTTTCAGAACTCCCTTTTTCTAGCATTGCTGGTCTCTTGTGTTTGGGACATCCTGTAGTACAGTTTACCTTCAGTGCACAAGAGTGGGCTATAGGTGTATCTGAAAAGCCTTGCAGAAGACACATAAGGCTGTTATATCCTCCTCTTCAGTTAGGTGTTCCTTCAGAACTCTGCAACTTTCCAACTTCAGCCACTTTTTTGCACAAATTGGTAGTCAGTACTCCCTAAAATTTATGTCTTGTCAAGAAAATTGGACAGAATAAAGCTGTCTACTTGAAGAAGAAATTGCCCTTTTGTGCCGTTTCATTGCCTAGTTAATAACAAGAAACTGGAGTGAATTATAGCAAATCTTTGATTAATAGATTAATTTTTCAGGGACTAACATGAAGGATAAAACTGCCAGAAGAGCTTTTTGCTCCTATACTCCTACCAACATTAATAAGGTGTCTGAAGGTCATCTTCTGCGTGATACCAAGTCCTGCAGCATGTGGTGATAAAAAAAATCACGTTTTTCAGATTGATTCTGTGTGATGGCAGTGCCATCTGTCAGCTAATGCCAGACCGATCAGAATTATGTGTGCACTTTTACGTATGCTGTGAGATTCTGATGGGTACATTCGTGCCTTTTTTGCAACATGACCCAGGTCTCTGAAGAAAAAAAACCCACCCAATAAACCCACAAGTGAGATTAGCAAGAGAGCCATTGTCCTGTCTAGCTGTTGATTAAATAAGCAGGAGAATCTTTGCTTGATCAGTTATCTCTGTATTTCTGCCGTGTACATTTCTAAACTTAAATGTCACAGGATGAATAACCTAGAATATGTTATTACAAAATCAGTCAAGAAAGTTTTAGATAAAAGACTTATTTAATTAAGAAGCAGGTTTAAACTATAAGAAGTAGCAAAACACATTAGAATTGAGGTATCATCTGCATAGGATATCTTGGGTGAGTTACATTTTCAGTAGGAGACTAATTTCCTATGTGTTAAAATAAAAAATGGGAAGATGAATACTTTTCACTGTGCAATGGTTGTCAGCATGAGAGGAGGCAGCATCAGTTAGATGCAGTCTTTCATCTTACATTAAATTTGACCTCTATATGATTTGTATATCATAATTCTATTCCCAGAAATCACATGCAAGAAGCAGGTACAAGTACTATAGAGGGTACCTCGAAGTATCTGTATTAGATATCTACAGGAACCTGAAATGGTCACTATAAATCCTCTAAAACTTTGGTCCACATACACATCTCAAGACAATTCAGGCTCTTCAGACAGAACAGGTGGTATTTTGACATCTAAATATAAGAACCTAATGCCATTTTATACATCCAAAGGTATACAAAGCATGCATACAGGATTGCTGTGTGAGACTCAAGGCATCTAGGACCCTACATGAACAGCCAGAGACCAGGCTGCTTAGGATACCCAACATGAAACCAGGCAGCTGTATTTAGGCACATAATTCTCTTACATAAAATTCATACTATTGGTAACATCAACATTTAAATGAATGCACAAAAGAAAGCAACACAAAGGACTGATATAATTTCATACTTTAGTCTGCTGAGCTTTACAGAGCAATGCTAACTCCAAACCAGAATGATTAGAAAATTTTTTGTTCTTGAAAACTAACAAAACCAGATTAAGTTAGTTCTGCTTAAGAAGACGTAAAACAGAAGATGCATGGTGAGCCTGAAACCAGAGAATTTCATATCTGAGTAGATGCCAGCAACATAACATCTTAGCAACACTTCACCTCATCGGTAATGCCAGCTAGGATAAACAGGAAACTGAAGGCTCTTTTTAGATAACTCCTCAGGGCTCGCAGGAAGAATTTTCATTCATTTCTAATGTTGAAAGCAAGCACCCCAAAAAAAAAAAAAATCAAGATTTTCTAGAAGCATGCAAAGGGCTAACAGAGAAGTGTCTAAATTTGCCTCACTTTAAAAATGCTCAGTGATCACAGGTTCTTAAAGAGGCTGGTCACAGGATTGAGGGGTTACAGAAGCTTTGCGCAGAGCTAACACTGTTTCCCTTTTATACAGAGATAATTACAAAATTTAATTGTCACAAGGTCTTTAGGCAATTCAGTGTTTCAAGCCCCAACCTCAAGACAATAGGGAGAGCATGCATTATGACGATGTCATCACGCCTCTTTAATCCAACCAAAATTCATGCTCAGCTATTGAAAAAACATACCTCATGGGGACACTTGCTCAGCTGAGGTCTACTTAGAAGAGACCTTCAGCTGCAATTAATCCAGCTTTCTGATATACGAAGCTGTGCTTAAGTCATAACCCAATTTATTAGTGAGTTAGGACACTAATTTGCAGGTTTTCAGATTCTCTTGCAGACTCACCTGCCTCAAGAAACGCAGAATCATAGAATGGTTAGAGTTGGAAGGGACCTCAAAGATCATCTAGTTCCAACCCCCTGTCATGGGCAGGGAAACCCTCAACTACACTAGGTTGCCCAAAGCCTCATCCAATCTGGCCTTGGACATCTGCAGGGATGGGACATCTACAACTTCTCTGGGCAACCTGTACCACTGCCTCACCACCCTCTGAGTGAAAAATTTCTTCCTTAGATCTAATCTAAATCTCCCCTCTTTCAGTCTAAATCCATTGCCCCTTGTCCTATCACTACATGCCCTTGTACAAAGCCCCTCTCCAGCTTTCCTGTAGGCCCCCTTTAGGTACTAGAAAGCTGCTATAAGATCACCCCGGAGCCTTCTCTTCTCCAGGCTGAACAGCCCCAACTCTTTCAGCCTGTCTTCATAGCAGAGGTGCTCCAGCCCTCGAATCATCTTTGTGGCCCTCCTCTGGACCCGCTCCAGCAGCTCCATGTCCTTCTTGTGTTGGGGACTGCAGAGCTGAACACAGTATTCCAGGGGGGGTCTCACAAGAGCAGAGCAGAGGGGCAGAATCACCTCCCTCGACCTGCTGGCCACGCTTCTTTTGATACAGCCCAGGATACGGTTGGCTTTCTGGGCTGGCAGCGCACATTGCCAGCTCATGTTGAGCTTCTCATCCACCAGCACTCCCAAGTCCTTTTCCTCAGGGCTGCTCTCAACCCATTCTCCCCCCAGCCTGTACTTGTGCTTGGGATTGGCCCGACTGACGTGCAGGACCTTGCAGTTGGCCTTGTTGAACTTCATGAGGTTCTCACAGGCCCACCTCTCCAGACTGTCAAGGTCCCTCTGGATGGCATCCCTTCCCTCCAGCGTGTCCACAACACCACACAACTTGGTGTCATCTGCAAACTTGCTGAGGGTGCACTCGATCCCACTGTATCACTGTGCATTGTCTTTAGAGAGCGGATGTTGATTTTGTAGCTGAAACGCCATATCGAGCACAGACCTTCCAGAAGCAAATCTCACACTCTAGTCATTTTAAACCTGATAAAGAAACGGGTGCTATATTAAATGTTCCTGTACCACTAAGGCAGTGCACTAGATGGGATCATGGGTCTTTGCCAGAACAGTATTAAAAAAATAACAGGAATGATTTCCACTCAACACAGAGGGGATGCACTAGAATAACTGAGTGCCGTTTTATGATTTATTAATTTAATAGCTAGATATCCACTCACTTCAGGTTTTGAAAAATCAAAACCGTGATTCTAAGTGAAATATTGTTTACTTAGATCCACACCACCACTCTGTCATTTCATAACACATGCTGTCTGTTGTTAACTGCTTATGTGAGACCCTTCCTTATCTTTCAGAAAAAAAAACTCACTTTTCTTTTTTTTTTTTTTAAATAAAACATGTTCCTACTAAGCAACAGGAATAAATTGTATTAGCTAGTCAGGTCTCCTTGTATTGTCAGACAGTTCTGAAAGTAATTTGAAGGAAGACTGTCGGTTCCTAAGAAGCATCATTATGATCTTCTGTTCCTTTACTTAGAAGTACGTTAAGCTACTTCCAGGTGTTTGACCTTGAAGGATGTGCATCAGGAAAGCCTACACTACGTACCTGCCGGTTAATACAGATGTTTTATATGGAGCATGCACAACTGCTGTTCTATGAACGCTTCACACCTCCAAAGGATTCAGGGTCACCTCTGCGTTGACATCTACCTGTCAACTGACCCCCACCCCTCCAAGGTTAAGAACGTGTTTTACTACTGGTGTTTGTCACTTCCGAAAGACACATCTGACAAGGATGATCAGTTATGAATCACGTTACAATGCTGCCACTCTGTGGGCTAAAGGGGTCATGGGCTGCTCCGATTCTCTTCTGGCAGAGAGAAACAAAGCAGAAGACGGTCCATGCTTACCCATTTATCAGGAATAACTGTGCTGTTCAAAAGGAAATTAACCGATCCCCAAAGTGCAATGAAAATATAGGCTTGCAAAGATGCTAAGTTCATTTAATTCTGCCCCTTAAGATCTGTTCAAAGCACTTGTTCACTCCAAAAAACAGTGATAGGGAAAACTCCTGGGGCACTGGATAGCCAGGCCATCCAGTTTTAGAGCAAGTAATAGACAAACTGACTTAATTTCAGGATGAAGACATTGGTCCCATAACTTCATAAGCATCATGAGACAAAATCTTAATGTAATGATGTGCTTCTCCTACTTTCACAAAACAACTGTTATTCCACACACAAGCCTAGCTTCAGCTTGCTGCCTAGACTAGCCTTATTCAGAATGCTTGCCTCTGAGGAGGGAAGCCCAACGCAAGGTATTTTGCAACTTAAACACCCTAACCGTTTCTAGGGGAGTGAAAATAAAGGGAGGAAAAAAAAAAACCACAAATGAGTTTACAACGAAGCACTTAAATCAAAACTGGTCTTGAAGAGGAAGAAAATCGGCAGTTCATAACTTCTGTTTCTATTCATGTTTTTCTGCCAAACGTCATCTTTCACATTTTAAATTAGGATAATACTAAAGCCTTGTTCACAGGTGGCCACATATGATCAAACATTACTGACTTGGAGCAAAGGAGACAGTTACCATCCTGCTCTCTGAGAACATCTTCTTTCTCTGAAAAGAGCTGGAGCTCTGGCAAGAGCTCCAGCGGCACAGCCCAAGTCACGGAAGGCAAAGGCAGGGACTGGGAGAATGAAGAACTGCCCACTGCAGGAGAAGATCAGGTTCTGAGGGAACACCTCAGTTTTCTGAGGGAACACAAAATCTTCATATTGCTGCACTGAATCATTCATTTCACCACAAGTTCTCCCTTTTCCTCCTGAAGTAGCAGTCTGGAGTTTGCCTTACCTTGATTCTGTTCAAGATGTTAAGACAACCAAGGGGATTTTGCTCAAGGAAAACAGATTAGAACATGTCAGGAAACAGCTTAATATGGGTAAGTCCTTTAGTTTTAGCAGCTACAATAAATTGAGACTCACTGAAACTTCATAGCAGAGCTACCAAAAGGTTAGAAAAAACCTTTTTATTATTAAAACTCCAAAGTTTTAAATGTACCGTGCTTGCAAGAACTGAAAGCCAGTTTCTCCCTAGATTTGCTTCAGGTTGGGGATTTTGGCTTTAGTTTCAGTATGTCTAAAAGATCTCTACACGAAGCTTTGGAATGTTTCCTAATCTCAACTCAAATTCGGTGGTCTTGAAAGCATCCCACGATTCCAAGCTTCACCTAGTAACCCAAACCAGTCAATGTTATAACAAAGGCCAGGGCCAACGTTTGAGTAAGTGTCCAATTGAGGTACCCTCTTCACCCTTGTACAATGGTAACATCTTGCAGAATGCAAGTATGAAAGGCTAATGTGGTCTGCTAGGTCCACTATGAAGATTATTACGTAACCTTTGCACTCATGTAGAGTGGAGTAAACTCTTCTACTTCATTCTAAGAAAAGTGGAACAATCTTCAGCTGTCCTAGAAAGACACTCATTTATAACAACAAATCCAAATCAACATGGACATATTAAAAAGATGCTTTAAAAGAGCCAATTTTTATGAATTGCATCCTAGAGACTTATACTCACGTCCGCTTTTGATTTCCCAGCTGACTCCAAACTTCAACTACAAAACCATCAAAATTTTCATTCTAAATAAAGGGAAGCAACAACAACATAATCACCACACTTATTCAAAAAGTTTGTATCAGAGAGGATAGAACAGTATCAAAGTGTACAATTACTGTACTTTTTCTCGTGCTATTACAGGTTCAACGTGCTTTGTATTCTTCTACCAGCTTTGTCTTTAATGTAGCATTTCATGAAGAAGTCAACGAGAAGCACAAATTATTTAACAAACATACAAAAGTTGAAAATCTTTATTAGCTACCCACGACTTCTGTTCTCACAGAATAAACCAGTATCATATTGGGAACATTCAGCCATTAAAGATAGTTGTTACGCAAATCATTTGACACACATTTACCTGTATATTGACAAAAAACTCATGAGATCTTGAGTCTAGAGATGTAAAAGCTCACTTACAACAGGCGTGATTCCAAACACCTCCCACAATCTCACTTGTGATAATTTATATTTAGCATGATCAAGGATACCGTTGTACTTGGGTACCCTTTCCTTAAGAGGCCAACTGTTACTGAGGACCAAAAATTGTTGTATCAGTTACAAATTTTAAGAAACTATTCAGTTTACCTCTACATCCATCTTCCTCTACAGCACATTAAGATTTCTTTACATTGTGTAGCAAGTGAGAAAACTTACTCTAACAGTAATTAAGCAGGCTGTCATGAACCAACCACTGAAGTTGAATTGTCTTTTGGGTGCAACTTGTCTAGTCCTACACACGCATAGCTCTGAAGCCATTAGCCAAGGGGCTGCCTGGAAAACCTCAGCAAATAGTAACCATTCCTTAAAGGAAATCCTCTCCTCCTCTCCCCAGCCTCATAACATTTTAAGGAAACTGGTTTATCAGACCTGAGCAAAACTGCACACTAACAAATAACCAGTGAGTTATTCTTGGTATTAAAAGTGGCTCATTAGCTCTAGCACACTGAGCCTGAATGTACCCCTGTAACACAGAAAACAGCACTCATTGCACCCGTGACCCTTTCTCTGCCTATCAAAAAACACATTGAGCTGTTTGGAAGAGGTTTTGTCAGTCTTGATTTACAGCAGGCAAAAGTCTCCAGTGCAGCCGTCAACGATAACTTAAAAAGGTTATGTTGATCAGACTTACATAGTCTCACTTTAGACTTGTGCTTAACTGCACTTAAGCGTTGCTATACCTCATATTTACAGGAATTGGACACCTACTAGGACACACTCTTAATAATCCTGCCTCATTATTGTTTTGAGCAGAATTTTATTCTGTAGAATATAAACCTACTGGAAACGAGAAAATACCCATTATGAAAGGAATCAAATATCTCACACTATTTCATAAACATTAGCAAAAACTCTATTACCTTGGCTAGCAGAACCATGCTCTTGGAAAGCTCCTCTATCTCATCCTCACTGCCAAAAACACTCTCGAAGTCCTGGTAAGTCCAGCCATCAAACAAAATTCGAGGCACTATCAAGCAAAGTCATCAATCAGTCATGAAAATTAAGAATTTATTATCTACACTGGAATATTTCTGCAGAAACAGAATACAGCAGATACAAGCAGAGATGCCACTAAACAACATATTCCAAGACTGAGATAGTTGCTCTTTTACTGTGACCAACTTCAGCAGCACAGATAAATTGACACAGTAGAACATTTTTCTTTGTTTTATGTTTAGACAAAGGTCAGCACTGATGCAAGATTTAAGAAAAGATACTTTCACTTGATTGAACTATCTTAATTCAACTGTCAGTTAGGGCACCAAGTAGAGTCTTAAAAGAATACCAACATTAAACAGCAATCTCTCTGTAAGTTGTGCATCTCTTCTACCACAAGAACAAGATAGAAAAGTTCACCTCAAACTCTAATTTACTCTTTTGTACACAGCCTTATGTAACTTCACTCTTCTACTCATCTCAAGACCCTATTACAAATTTTTGTTTTGGAAAACGTGGGCACTTGAGCTCACATAATTTCTTTTTCTAACAACACACTTAAAACATTAAAAACAGTCAGACAAGAATCAGGAAAACCGCTGTTGGAACAGTTGACAATCTGGAAAAGCCAACAACTCATACAGAGCTATGTCTAAGCCCTTTCTAACTACTGAAGATGCAAAAGAGTATTTTAGAAAAGTCTAGAGAGATTTCGAAGGCTTTATCATCTGGCAGCTAAAGTAATTTAAAATGTCTGACTGAGCATTCAATTTTTCTAATGCATTTCAAGTTTCATACTCCCTTCTGAATCAAGAAGGGTTTCGCAGTTCAATGGAATCCTTGCTGCAGGCAACTGTAAGAAGTCTAGCACAGTATTATCTCTAGAGCAATGTTTGCCATTTTTCCTAAAGGCTCACATGGTGGCACACCCCTTGAGTTCCCAGCTTTAAGGGGAGAAAAGCCAACGGAGGACTTTTCTACTATCATGCAGGGAAGTCTGACTGACTCAGATTTGGATTTTTTTTTTCTTTTTAACTAAGGAGAACCCCTGAGCAACAAGTTTAAAAACCACTCCCCCAGGTAAGCATGTAGTGCTATATACAAAGTACCCCTCCAGAGAGAGCCCTGTGACCCAGGGTTTATCCAAATATAAGAAGTTGAGGCAAAACATTAGGGCATCAAAAGGATCAACACTCCAGTTACTGAACTATCCACAGTTAACAGCTTTTCTTTTTCTTCTCAGACTTCTTCCTTCATATAACTATGCTAAAGCAACCTCCCTTTCTCCCATATATACCTGGAAAAAAAGCCTTCTCTTGCTCTGCTAGCAGTTAATGAAGATAAATAACAAATAAACATAAAACAGAGGCTCACCTATTTTGATGTTTTTGGAGGTTTTTCTGACATCTTTCATCCAGCCTGTCAAACAGTATCAAGAAAGAGAACAACTGTTAAAATATGAATGATGTTGACAATGACAACATATTTTCAAGCATTCTTCAAATAATGTAGCATAGTTTTATACTATCTGTCTTCCTGCCACAGACTACTAGTTCATAACCAACATACATGAAACATCTTCTAATGCACAGAATTTGAAGCTATTCACCTCCACCACAGCAAAACTAGCATTTACTACAATCTTACAACAGTCCCTACCTAACCCCTCTTTGCTGCTTACAGTTCTGCCTCATCATGGAAACTATCTTACTGCCTGCTCAGAACAACACTTCTGTAGTCACCAAGCATCACCTGGGAGGAATTTTTTTTTCCTTCTTCTAAGATGATACCTTCAAGTGTCCCATCCACTCCTCTTGGCAGTCATTGCACCAGAACGAATTTTTAGTGGGCAACAACACGGTAAGAATTATAGCTGCTTCAATGAGATTCCACAGACAAATGTTTCAATCAATTATAGCTGCTTCAATAAGATTCCACAGACAAATGTTTCAATCAAGCTCAAAACCATAAACTATTTGATTATTATTTAAGAGCATACTAGCTGAAACCTGAACTTGCTGCCAGTTTCTTGACAGTGAAGGAAAAAAATTCTCTTCAGATTAAATTTATGTTCCATTCCCAAAAGAAATTCACCCAAAGGTTCTTGCAGAGGGAAGAAAAAAAAACCACAACAGGCAAACAACTGCAAATACCAAGGACTATTTCTGTCTGTACAGATTTTTTGTCCCTTCCTTTTTTTTAAAAGTGGCTTTGTAGACAACCTGATAGAAGAGCCAATCTTTCTACTTACTGTTTGGACAGATAAACTGTGTACACATGTGGAAGCAGGTAGGGACAGAAAAAAGATCACTCTGAAGAAAACTCTCAAAAAAATGTAACAGATGAAACTATTTCACCACGGCAGACCAGAAAAACCTACATGTACTTATTGCCAAAGTCACTCAGTCTGCAACAAGACCAGTAATTTTGTAATGCATATTAAAAGAAAATAACACCTTTATCAGCATCATGGAGCCCAGTGAACTGGAACATTTCCTTCCCTCTCCTTTTCACTTGTAACCAGACTGGTGAGATAAGCGTAAATTTGTTTCCAAATATTTTAGCAACATCATAGCCATGGCTGTTCCACTTAGAAAAAAAAGGAAAAAAAAAAAAAGTGAGAGGCTCAACAGTAAGACATACAGTTCACTTTACTTTTGACCAATACAAATTCTTTAACACAAATGTAATCATTTGCTAGATCCCCATTTGTTAGTTTGAAGAAGCCTTTTGGGACATTATTCTTATTTAGTTAAGAAAGTACTCTGGAAACTGATAGCTACATGAAAGGCAATCTTCAAATTGTGCAAATTCACCAGAACTACAAGAATTTGCATGTAGATTCCAATATAGTTTTGAATTTACAGATTCTGCATTTATGTTCAAGCAAACTTGAGAAAGGTGAAAATTTATAGGGCACCTATTTCTATCTTGAGTAGTGTAAGACAGAAACAAGTGAAAAGCATCCTCTAAACAAAAGGAAGAAACATTCATTACTCAAGAAAGGATGCTTTGAATAACAATAAGCCTGGACAGCAAAAGAGATCAGTTTGACAGCAGTATAAAATTTCTGCTGTTTGTTTAGAAGGTTCAAGTTGGTAGATGCACAGTATGAGGACGCTTAGAAGCCCTCCTGGTCTGAATTTACTGCAACTTCACATGGCTCATCAAGGCCAAGAGAACACGATCATCTCTGTTTTACCAGGGAGAAGAAAAACAGTATGACCTAGACACCCTCGAAGAGATGGATGGGAGAAAAGGGGTTTGAGACCACCTGAATCCCAAGCCAGCTCTCAAATAATCCTCTGGCTATTTGACTGTATTTGAACAGAAGTTCCCATTATTGTACAAATGCATTTAAAGCAGGGCAGCAAGATTGCAGATTAGCACAGTCTGCTGCATATTCATTCAAAGCACCAATTTTATTCCTTTCATTAACTTACGGGAGTAACATATCCCAGAACATCTCCCGAGAAATGTCTTTCCTTCATCTTCGTGGAGCAGTAACTTTGGTGTTCCAGTATAATATCCTTTGCCTTTGGATCCACAACTACCAATCCTCGGTCCTGCACATTTTTATCAGAATGCAGTGTCTGGGGATAGAAGACAGTTTTTTGAACCAGTTATATGAAGCAGCCACTTTCAATAGCAACATAATTCAAAAAGAAAAAAATCAAAAATCACATCATTAAACTCTGAGCACTCTTTTAAATGATGCAGAGCAGTTTGATTTAAAACTGAAACAGGAAAGTGCTCAGAAACCACATGTCATCATCAGTAAACTTACTTTGCAAGGCAAAATGCATATAAACAGAAAAAAAACAAAATCAAGAAGGGATAAGATTAAAGAACATCATTCACCACAGCCGATGGTGCTCTGCTCTCTAGTCAGTGCTTTCTGGCATGTTACCCCAAACGATAAAAAGAGGTTTGGAGTTCTTAATCAAGAATTTGAAGACAACTTTTAAACTGCATGTATTTTGGACTGAGTACGCTGCATTGTGGTTACTGAAGGCCAAGATTCTGAACACCTTTCTTCAAGGAAGATCTGCTTCGACTAAAACAGCACAGTTTTAGCAGACAGAAACAGAGTGAGAAGGCGTAATAAAGCGTGCGTGGTGAGTACACAGAAACCATCTATTGATTCAGCATACGGACTTCAGGGGTAAGGCCTGTGTCTTAACACTTTGTATTATGCTCACTACCTGCAGACTAGATTTTCTTCCTGGTAGACACTGAGCAAGCAAGCAATACAAACAACAAGAGATGCATCTGCATAAAGAAGGATTAACTATACTTACAATTTAAGGAGAGGATTTTGGACACGTCTGCGTTTTTACCTAATGTGCTTAGCAACGCTAAATACCTATACTTGGTATAAGCACTGGTAAATATACTTCCTCTCCATACACACCCTTTCTCTTGCACTGCTGTGCCTTCTTGCAGTTTTGAAAGAAAACAAGCAGGAAACAAGAACATGCTCAGCAAGTTAAGAGAGACTTCAGCATGTTGGCTCCACTCGCTCAGATTGCTACAGGACTCTGAACCACTTCTGCCTGCAAAGAAATGCTGGTTAGAAGGCTCTTCAGACTCTTCTGTCAGGATGCAGCCTTCCTATTGGCAAGGCTGAGAACACCTTCCCTTCCACCAGAAAATGACCAAGCACTCTTGGCCCAAACTACTGCTCCCCACATCCCCTTCCAAGGGAATGGAAGTACATCTTCTTTAACTATGCACAAGGGGACAAAAACTTCCTGCTTCTGTAGCTTGCACAGGGGATAAAGTTCCAGAAGTCTACATCATATTTGTTCAAGGAGTGAAACCATTTCTAACATTCATAAAACCTGAAGGAAAGGACAGTTTCAGGTAGCCTTATTTGCGAGCATAAGTTTCAATGGAAATACACGGTTGCTTTTAACACTGTTTTGATAGAATGAGAGTCCCTTTACCAAAGTTCAATTAGTTCACCACGCATGTTAGATAAGACGAGAATTTCAGTTATTTCTTTTACCTTTTCTTCCAGTTTTTTTGTAGCAACTTTCTTTGCATCCGTTTTTGACAGGGTACCTTCAGCTAGCCAGCAAATCATGGTAAGAGAAAGTGAAGTACAGAGAATTCTCATGGTGTTTTTCCCCATGTCAAGATTCTGCTGCCCTGAAAACCTAAGGGTTCAAATCTCTGTGAACAGAAGAATGTAACATGTTAGTTCAGTTTTCTTGTCTAAGAAAATTCAAGCAATTGTCTTATCTTCTGCCCTCTAGAGTCAGACTTATTAAGGCAGTACAGTTTTAATAGTGCCTTGCTGTGGCAGCAAAATTGCAGAGTATCTTAAAAGATTCCTAGGCTCAAACATGTTTTTTTTGTCCCTTGTTTTAGTAGGTGTATCAGAGAGAAAGTGGGTTGGACTCTTTCAGCTTCCCTTTTAAAGAATCCCTAAACAAGTATAACAGTTTACAGCTGAAACTGAGATAAATGCCTGCTGCCCAGAACAATTATAGTATCATCTTACCTTTTCTATAGCAAATAAGGGATACCATTCATTTCTGCTCCTGCCTAACTCAGTCAGCAAGTCACAAATTAATTAAGAGACAGAAACGATTACAGCTATACGGTTATAGCTATGTCCCTTTACTCTACTAGGTGACAACTTTGCTTTCAATTCCTTGCCAAGTCAGTGATACACAAAGAATTGGGGAAAAAAAAAAAAAAACACAACAGGGGTCCTTTTCGTGTAGAAGAATGACTTTGACAGTTTGTCCTAGCACCAGATAAAAGAATTGAGAATTAACAGAGAAAACTTCTGTTCAGTGCTATTTATCTATCACACCTTAGTTCTGTCAGAAGAAAGATTTTACAGGAAAAAAAATTCAAATAAAGCCAGAGCTTGTTTTTCAACCTCTACTCATTCATGACTCACATTGGTTTTCCTACGGAGAAAACAGAGAAAAAAAATACTTAGCATTAGGGGAACCAGGGTGAAAGGAGGTAAAATACCAGAATGAAGAAAAACAACCTGTTACTAATTCTGGAAGTCCTAATTACCAAAATAGAACTAGCTTTCCTCTATAATAAGCTAGTAGCTCATAATTATGAGATCCTAATGGAGAAGACAAAAGGTTATCTTTCCCATAATTTTCCGAAGTTTTATCAAACTTAAAAAATTCTCATGCTTCCTGTATTACTCTGAAGAACTAACATTTCCACCACTCACTTGAAAAACTTATGAGCTCATTCTTTCAAGTCATATTTATAAGACTTGGTGTTCTGTTGGCACAGGTAACAAGTGCTGCTCAAAGTCTGATTATTTTGCTTCTGTACAAAACATAAGGTGAGGGGTCCCACAGCAGAGCACTCTAAAGGGGTACTGTGGCAGTAACATGACAGCAGAAGGAACCTTAAAGGTTAACGGGAAGTGCACTTAATGAAAGAGCAGCTATTTGAGGCCAACAGTGGTAATGCAGAGATGACATCAACAGCTCAATAAACTTAAGCATATTTGGATGTGGCAGGCTGCGAGGTTTTAAAAAGCAGAGATATTTATTGCTGGAGTTAGGGATTCTGCAGGAAAACAGAGAGGAGTACGTGATTAGGGAACAAAGCAGAAGGATGATGGCAGCACAAGTGCTTGAAAAAAACAATGCCACTAGCACCAAAGAACAGAGCATCAAAAACTTCATGTACGAAATTATTTGAAGGCTTTAGTCAAGCCTTATAAAGACTGCAAAATACCCCAAGAAAGCCTTCTAATACTTCTTGGATCCAGAGGGCAGGATAAAAGTTAAATTGCTATACCATTTAAAATTCGCTATTATTAATAGTTAAAGTGTTATGCTTCTACTTTGACTTCAAGGTCACTTGTAACCCCCTTGTTTTCCACATCCTAAAAAATTAAGGCAAAGCAGGTTGCTCTTGATAGCATCTACTCAGCTCCATCTAGCTTGGCAGAATCAAAACTACTGCAGAGAGCAACAGCTGAGAGCCTCAATAGTCAATACAAGCTGCAACCATTTGGACAGGATATCAATTTTTCCAGAAGCTGGTATATATTGATTTAGAGGTGTTTGATTTCACTTTCAGAAACTATTAGCAACAGTAGCCACTTCCCTGAAGAGAAGATAATGTTCAACAGCTGAAGCACAGAGGTTTAAAAAACCATCACTGAACTCTAATTTTATAGACATCAAAATATGCTCATTTCCTTGACACGATCATATCCATCTGCCAATTATTGTTACGTGAACATCACTCCTAGATCTATGGAAAGCACTGAGTCTGTGGCAAAATGGTTTCTGCCAGTGACAGTCCAATATCAGCTCTTGGTTGGAACCTTATTTTAATAATTTATTCTTTAACAACATTGATTTAGTGAAAATTAAGTAGACAGTACCACTCTACTACATGAAGATAATTAGCCAAACTTTAAATGGTCTTTATGGAAACTACAAGCATGAATTTTGCAAGCTTTACAAAACCAGACCCCCATCAAGTTTTTCTTCTACAAACCCTCCTGCATGATCTTAATTCCCCTCAAACTCACTAAACTGAGTAGAACGGTAGTAGCTTGTCATTCTTGTTTATTTCCTGTATCACTGCAAAACGCGAGTGAAATTGAAGATCGACTCTGTTTGCATTCTTGTTCAACCAGTACTACGGAAAATTTAAGGTTTAAAACATCTTTTGACAAAACTGATTTGAAGCCCAGGTTTCTCTCTAAGCCAGGTCACAAACGTTGTTTAACCTGAGCCTCCACGTGAGGTAACATACTTTCAGTCTGTAGTTTTAAATGTACCTTTGCTTTTAAAAAGGACAAAAGCTGACATAGGGTTAGACTGTCCGACAGAAGCAACCAAAGAAACTAACTTAGAGGCTGGCACAGTAACTGTTTGGAAATCAGAGTTAATGTTTACACTTTATTTCTAAAGAAGAAACTAGATTTTAACCACTGCTGCTGCAGGAGTCTGTTAACACTCCGTAAAGGAAGCCTAAGAAACCTACTGCTGATGTGTTTTTAAATTAAATAATAATAATTAAAAAAAAGCTAGATTCAGGAGCGAAAAGAGTGAAAATAAACCCGTTTCTAACACGTGTAAACATGAGTGCCTTTCCTCTTGCAAGGTGCTTTACTCGGATAGTAACAACTGCCTCTCGCCAGCTTCCCATGCAGACCTGAGACCCCCGGCAG